GTGACTTATATTATCAGGAATCCCTTGTTTACAATTCCTTCTCAGATGTCCCATTTGATCACAATTGAATATTTGATATTTTGATATCTTCTCTTACCATTGGAAATTGCTTCTCCTACACAAGATTCAGTACCATAGTCATGTGTCTTGACATTCATTGTATGCAAGACCCTTTCATCCATAGGTGCTGATCCCATCTTTAAAGGCCCAAGGATCCATTTGCATTCTAAGTGGGAATTCTCATAAGCCAAAGACTCAATTATTATACATCTAGCTTCTGGGTCAGTTACCCCTAGTTAGTCTTCATAAGAAGTCATTAAAAGTTTCTCTTTGACCCTGTTTAACTCCAAGACATAATTCAACTCTTTTTCATATTCCTGAATCATTTCTCAAGGATTTAAAGCTGTTGTGCTACATAGGGACATCGTGTGGTCATGATAAAGAGCTTGATCTTGAGGATCAGAGAAAGGTCCTTTGCCTAGAATTTGATCTAGAAAAATCTCAAGTTCATTTGCTTTCTCCTGTTGCTCTAAAATTTTAACTTCTTCTTTTAAATAGCACCTCCAGAGCAACTGTGATCCACTCTCTAGAGCTGCTGAGATTAACTGAGTCTATTCTTATGTGGTTGCTTTGTTACTGGAAGCCCACATTTTGACCATTTCCATAACAAAGTATAAGTGTAGTCTGTAAGCTACAATTCATTGTTTAATTTCTTTTATATCAGTTACATGTATGGTCTCCTATGCATATTCTTTGGCAACAGGGTACTTGGGGCCTGATACTCATTCTGATGTTATTACTGGAAAGGCAGGCTCATATCTGGGGAAGCTATCCTGGAGAGTTTTACATAATGAGAAGGCTAAATTTTGTCTTTGTACCTTTTGTACCTGGCCATCAAATTTAATAATTTCCTCAATCTTTTCAAATCTATTGACCACTGACTTTTGGAAAGTCTGGATATCCTGTCCAATGTTCTGTTCTAATGCTCTCATTGAGGATTCCAAGGTATAAAAGCTGTCCTGTAGAGATAATTTTTCGTCCTTGGACATAGCCTTTATGGCATGCATATTACCTTCCTGGAGAAACATTCTGTCAGTCATTTTGTCATATACCTTTGACAGAGTCTGATTAATACATTCATCAGTGTGAATCCTCTCAAACAATCCCACTGTCATTGACTTGGTTTTATGTGTCAAATTGGCTGTATCCTTCTCTGGAGAGTTGCATTTTCTTTTAATAAGTCACTATCCTTCTGTATAATTTCTAAAAGTACCACATTTGACTGAGTTTTGTTAGTTAAATTTGTTGTATCCTTCTTCAGAGTTCTGACCTCTTAAAAGCTTGCTTGGTATAACTCTGTAAAGACTGTATCATTTCTAAAAGCAATTCATTCTTAGCCTTATTATCAAACCATATTTTTAAAGAAAAAAATATTGAGAACAAAACTTATTCCCAGAATCAAAAATAGTGATGTTGGAATGGAATCATATTAGTCTTATAAAACCTCATACATGGTGTAATTAAAAAGGCTATTGAAACCATGGATGGTTAGGTTGTCCAACATATTGCTGTTTTAAATTATAAAGTTATATATTTTTTCAAATTATAAATTTTACCTATGGTTGATTTTGAGCTGAAGTAGGTGCAATAACTGTTTCCAATCAGTAGATGTTGTGGGCCACCTACAAAACAAACACAGCTCTGGGTCTATTGGTACAAAACTTGGAGTCACATGGCTGGTCTGAATTTGATCTCAGAGTGAAATTCTGAAAGATAAGCTCAAATTGAAAATAGTTATATAATATAAATCACAGACCTTGTTCTCCATGGATGTCTCTAGAGCAGTAAAATAACAAATGCCAACAAATTTTTAGACGCTACGGAACAGCTGGCTCAGAGCAGGGAAGCCCATGTCTCACCTGAGTTTCCATGGTGCACACTGGTGGGAGGCAAGCAATGGGGAGTGCAGAGACTTGAAGCTGCTCCAAGGCATGTACTGAGAAATTATAATGAACTGTGGCCAATCTGTAGCAAGAAAAGTTGCTGTGCAAGATTTCTATATCCAAATGAACTGTTGGCTCCATGCCCAGGCCACGGCTGAGGCAGACTGATGTAGGACTCACACCAAACCTGCTGGAGGATGCACCTACATTCAGAGTCAGAGGTTCTAAAATCAAATGTTTGGGCACTAAGTAATGACAGAAATCACAAAATAATCACAAACTAGCTCAGGATTGAGAATAATAGAGAGTTATTTATTTTGGATAGATTCCAAGGTCACAATCCTGTGCTGGAACAGGGAACAGAAAACCAACCCTGCAGCTAGAGAAATGAGCCAGAAGCAAGAGAGGGAGTGCATGCCTTACAGCTGCTTTTACAGTATAAGATACCATGCCCATGTAGGCTGGTATCTTAAAGGCTTTTGGCTGAAGGAGCAGAATGTGCTCCCACAGCATATACATAAGCTATCTTTATCATAAAAATTCAAGTATCTAATTAAAAAAAATGCTTACCAGTGGGATAGTAGTTTTTCCATGGCCTCGGTCTGATTTCATAGATCTACTAAGACAATGGAGACATAGATGAATTATTAGGATTGTTCAAATAGCATTTGTTTCTCTTTAGAAAGCATGAGTCCTTAAATTTGATTATTGCTGTGTATTAAAAAATGTGAAATCAAATAGTGTATACCCCTTAGAAATTACATTTAAAAAAACCACTTACAATTGAATGAAAACAATGGTTTTCAATCTTCTATTGCTCTGATGTTTAATGTAGTACCTCATATTGTGGTGACCTCCCCAAACATAAACTTAATTCATTATAACTTCACAACTGTAATTTTGCTACTTTTATGTAATGCAAATATCTGACATGCAACTATAAAAATCACATTTTGATTAGCATATTTAAGCCATTAACAGCTTTGTTTACCATTTTTATCAATTGGAAAAGATTGCCCAGGACCATTAGTGTACAATGCCATGCTATGTAGCAGTTCAGATGGTCCAAGAAGTGGTAGTGCCAAAATCCTTGGAGGTATTTTCCTCCTTGTGATGGGGGAGTATAAGAAGGTGAAAAGAAGCAAACAAAAGCATTGAGAAGAAAATCATATGAACAAATGAACACTGGTAGGCCAGAGAAGCCTAGGAATTTTCAATGGCTTTGGAGATCCTAGCAAAAGTAGGTGGTACCATTTTCACTCTGCGCCTCAATCTCATATAATTCTGCAACTGCCACATTCTGACTTGTCCTCCTCCAGAAAAAAAATGTTCACTCCTGTGGTTGTTGGTCAGCTCCCAGTGAGTTTTCAGGAATTGTCTCCAAAATTAAGGTTGAACAATCCTAGCAGCTGTTTCCTAATATTTATTTTCATTTTTGTTTATTATCAGTTTAATTTTATCTCCCATAAATAGTTTTAATTTTGAAATGATTTAAATAAAGCAATTATAAAAAATTATTCCTGTGGAAGAATTTATCTGTACACTATGAGAATATATGTCACCATATAAGCTGACAGGTCAATATTAGAACAGAATAAAGTTAGACATGAAAATCCAAATGACAATGATGGAATGAGGAAGGGCAGAGTCACAGAGTCACCAAACAGAGAATGAATCAGGCATACAAACTGTGATAGTGGTTAAATCTATGGGCCTTGGGGAAGCATATAGATTTATATAAATGTATTAAGTTGTAAGAGCTAATTAGCAATGAACCTGAATTAACGGACAATCCTTTAAAATTTATATTAATTCTCTGAGTCAGTAATTGGGGCAGTGACTGCCAGTTATTTGGGAGCATGCTGTCAGGACAGAAAAACTCCACATATAAATTATAGCAATTCCCCCTTAAGACCCTTCCTCCAACACTCCAACACTCCTCATATACTCCTCCTTACTCTATTTCAAATTCATGGCCTCTTGATTGTTGTTTTTGCGTCTGATTGCCCAAACAAGAATTGAACATAAAAGACAACAACCAATAGACATGTTAGTGTCTATCTTTTCTTTCTTTTTTTTCAAAGGAAAAACAAATACTTTTATTGCACATTTATAAAATCCACATAGTTATGTTGTTTTCTTCCCTCCCATGATTCTCCACTGATCCTTAAAATTTGGCTAAAACATGAGTTTCCAATTAAAAGTTCTTTAAAAATGAATTTCTCTCTACATATACATACAGATAAATGTTCTTTTCTTTATACAAATTCACATCCCTTATTTTCTAAAACAGGAGATAAGAGAATCAAAATGTTCTTCTAGGGCAGGGTATCTAGCCTTAAACACCTGCTTTAGACAGTTTTCAAAATTTTGCTTAAATGATTACTAACTATCAAAATGTTCCTTGTGCAGCTTCCCAATACCACTGGGCCGACAGTCCATGATGCTCTCTTCCCTTTCACTCAGTACTGAATGTGAGGTTTTCTGATTTATCTAAAATATAAACAGACCAGAAGGCGAGGCAGCTCTTCCTGGCTTTGCAGCGAAGCCTCAGGTTCCACCCACATGCGGAAGGAAGGACTCATCAGTGCCCCCTCAGTCACTGCAAGAGCCATGCGAGACTTCTATCACCAATCTCTGATAGTTAGGGATTTTAAATGTCATCTGAACTTGACAAAATAAGTAATAACTGCTCCTCCAGTTCAGTTCTGATGAGTCACCCTTCTGCTTCCAGAAATACTGGTGACTCAGGGGTAATTTAAAAAGTGACATGATTCTTATAGAAACCCAAGTATTATGGGAGATTAAAAAGGCAATTCAGGTCTTCTGGAATAATTCAAAACTATAATGTACTGGCCTTCTTCAGTGAAATAGCTCTCATGATTCTGCACCTAAATGTGCACTTTATCCTTAATCCCTTTAAACACACACCATGACAGGGGTGAGGGTCTGACTCTTGCTCAGCCACCCAGTCCCCGTCTCCAGCAGAGTCTGCAACAACAAATTGCTGTGTAATAGCAGGTGATGAGAGAGCAGGCTGAGTCTGGGCCGAGGGAATTATTTCACTGTCATTGTTGAAACTTCTTGAATGGACTCCATGACAGCTGCAAACCGGCTGCAAAGGTCATAGGGGGAATTCGGTCTAATAGTTGGAGGCACTTTCAAGATGATGATTTCTGCAGAAGGATCTAGAAGCCTGGGTAGAAACTCCCCTAAGCACAGCTGCAGATTTTCTGCAATATCCTTCCCTAGGTAAGAGCACCAATGATTTCTCATGACTTCAATGGCATCCAAGTCATCCTTGGAGATGTCGTTGTTAACGATCAGTTGGATACAGGGAATGATCAACTCATTCATCACATTAATGCCCTCTGTTACAGAGTGGTCCTCATTTGTTTCAAAAAGAGAAACAGCCTTGGCATTGAGCTCGAGAAGGCATTTTCTGCGGTATAACGTGATCACAGACTCCTTCACACCCCTGCGGGGCCCCTTCATCAGCAGGGCGGCATTGCTCTGGTAGGCATATACTAGATAGAACAGTGCTTCCTGGTACTTTCCTTTCTGAAAGAGTTCCAGGCCTGTTAGGAGGTACACAGACACCTTTCAGAACAAACTGTAATCTTCATGCCACCTCTTATACTCTTCCGTGTTCATATCATCTGGACCAATTTCCATTAGTTTGGCCTGAGCCACCTTCATGATACTGATAGATCTCTCATCATAGCTAAGGTTTCTATCTGCAAACTGTTCCAGAAGGGTTTGTTCTACTACCCTTTTGGGTGCTTCATTTTGGAAAAAGTAGACAAGGACATGCTGAAGGCGAGGGTCACTGTGAGAGGTGGGGGTCTCTTTGGCAAGCTGATAGAGCCTGGAGTATTCTTCATGAAATGCCTCACTCAAGGCCGCTTCTACTCCACTCTTCTCATAGGCATGGGCTGTATTTGCAATAGCTTGGGCAGTCTGCTCCTTTGCAATCACAGCATGTTCAGAGGACAAGCTTCGAACGCCATGAGAGGAGGCTGCTGAAGACTCTTGAGATGTGGAGAAATCCTGTGATGAGGAGTTTGGGGAGGACTCCATTTGTGGGCTCTTACAGGACTACTCTTCTTCCCATTCGTCCACCTCTTGCTCAAACCTCCAGTTATCTTCCTGAATGTACTGCCTGAGTTCCACAGACAGGGCTTCCACTTCTCACGCCATTTGATCAGACTCGTTAGGAGCTGCCTCTGCATTGAAGTGGAGTAGCTTGTCATATTGTCAAGCAATATGCACTGACATTTCTCAGACCCCCATAAGAATCTCTTTCAAGTTCCTCCCAGGAAGACTCAGTGACAGAGATATCATTATATTTGAGCCAAATTTGCCGAGGTTGGTTGTAGATGTAAGCCCAGTAGTGTCCAGCATTGGCTTGTCCTTCGTGAACAAGAACGGCATGTAAACGGTAAGGCACCTGATGAAGAAGAGGATCACAATACATCTGCTCGATAGCCTGGGTGGTGCTCGCTATGCAATCCTTTAAATCTTGTATATCCTGTTCAATTTCACTCCGCCACCTCTGAAGGCAGGTTTTAACAAAGTTCATCTCCTCATCAGTGATAATCCGAGGAGCTGGGGACGCAGGCATTCCCAGGGAGGAGTGGGGGGAGGTAAACGGTCCATTCATTACATCACACCTGGGCAGAGTATTTTCAGGAGAGGAAAAGGTGCCTTCAGCATTCTGAGAACAGTTTTCTGGACTTGAACTTTCCTTGGATGTGAGGTCAGAAACCGGGCAGTGCACTGAAGGAGGTGGTAATGTCGTGTGGTCAGCACTTCCAGACAGACAGCTTTCAGAGGCAGGTTTTGTACTGGAAAATTCAATAACGTATTTCAACATGTCGGGGAATGGGAACCGAGCTGGGCCGGAGCCGTACTTCACATACATTTCCAATTTTTGCTGCAGAACCTATATTTCCTCCTTCAACTTTCGAACACTCTCTCTCTTACTTCGAATAAGCTCTTTGCTCTTGTACATGTACCTATCCATGTAAATAATCTGAGGAAATTCCAGCTTATTATGAATTTTCTCTGGCTGCCCAAGAGATTGATTAAACTCAAATCTGGAGAGTTCAAAGGTCAACACTGGAGGTAGTTTGGTAAACCAACGCTCTTGTCCATACTTCACCGAATGATCGGAAGGAAGCAGCACAATGTCACCTTCCACCATGGCCCCTTCCAAGCATTCGTCTAAGTTGCGATAACCATTTACCTGGAGAGGATACTGGCAGAAGGTCTCGTTGTTACAAAAGGGTTTTCCTTCTCGAACCCCTTCTGTCAGGAAAGTACCATAGAACAGCTGCACCATGGGATTTTCAGGTTTATTCCTGGGATTGCTGTTAACATTAACAGCTAGCTGGAACACATCCTCCAGCCAATCCAGGAGCTTTTGTTTGAATTCACTCACATCTTGCTGCTGCTCCTCTGATGACCAGAAGGTTCCCTTCAGCAGATCCAGGGCTGCAGAAGGATCTACAAATTTTCGATTTGATCCCAACAGTAGAGCAAATGAATACTGAAGCTCTTGCATAAACAGGATATTTCTCTTTTCAGTGTGACTTCGACAGTTTTCAAGTATGTTCTGTGGTAGACTATAGCTGAGAACAAGTCTTTGGAACTCAGGCAACTGAAAGAGAGACTGAATAACAGCACTGAACCAGCATGCGTTGCCAACATTTTTCAGCCCAACTGGCCAATCATCCACTCTCCTCCAGTTATTGGGATTGTGGTTTTCTCCCCAAACTTCACAGCGTTTTCGCTTTGAGCGCTTAGTTTCTGCAGAGTTTGCCTCATGCATTCTATTAAGATCTCTGCCATCAGTTTGAATCTTAGGAGACTCCAGTAGACTCAAGGCAATGGCTGCATGAAGGTCATCTTTGTTGTCATGAGTAAGGTCTATTACTTTTGCTAACAGTTCTCTGCTGGTAGTGCTCCCTTCACCTTCAGACGATTCTGTAGCAGTCGTGTCGTGAGTGGGCTCCTTAACTCTTTGGTCAGTGAGAAGGCAGACAGCCTGGGTGATGTCACCATTACTGGCCTTTAATGCTTCATGAAGGAAGGAAGGATCCTGGATGCCTGTGATTTCTCGCAGTTGATTTAATAGCATCTGGCAGCTGTCAGTCGTAACCGGCCAGCCTTAAGGTGCCTTGGGCTTTCCTCTCTGGACAGTGCATCAGTAGGTCAAAGAAGGAGTCCAGGGAATCGAGCCATGGCTGTCCGCCGCCCCTGCCGCGTTGTTCTGCTGCAGATTGGCAGTCATGGCCTAGACGCCCCTCGGCGCATAGCCCCACTCTCATCGTCCTCGCCGTCGCCATGGCCACCACCGCCGCCCCCTATCTTTTCTTTTTAATAATTTATTTTTATTTTATTTGCATTGGTATTTTGCCTTCATTTATGTCCATGTCTAAAATCTTGGAGTTACAGATAGTTGTTAGCTGCCATCTAGGTGTTGGAAATTGAACCCGGATTCTCTGATAGAGCAGTCAGTGTTCTTAATCACTGAGCTATATTGTACAATCTTAGATAAATGCACATTTATTTATTGAGGGTTTTGGAGGTAATTTATCTAAGTTACAGGGCTTTTTTGCCTTCTGAGAAACTTCTATTAGTTATGGGGAATAAAATAACAGTTCAGGTAAGCTGAAAATTATGGAAGCCACAAAGATGAGGGACATGTTAAAAAAAAAAACTCATGTTTAAAAATGAAAAGGAGTTCAAAGGATCCTTGATTCTGGGCTATTGTGTCCCAAAGAAAGGGTACATAATTAAAAATCAATGAAAGTTTGTTACAAAAAACCTTTCAACATCGAAAGGGAAGTGGATGAGGTAGCTGAAGGAAGCCACCAAAACATCTGACCACTAGGTTTTATTAAGCCTTTACAAGACCTTGAGCTTACCACTCTCTATGCTCTAGCCACTGTATTAAAACCAGGGAAGGAGTGGATTTCAGGCATCCTCTGAGTACTGAATTTTCTCTCATATTAATCATAATGCTTTATGTCAGTCATACTTTCTATGTCACAGTAGTAGACACTATCATTTAAAAGATTTATTTTCTTTCCAAAGTTTATTAAATTATAAAAGTTTCCACTTCCGCCCCTCCTCCCAACACCCTCCTACTCCCCCCACTCCCTCTCCTCCTCACTCTCCATCCCTAAGAGCAGTCAGGGTTTCCTGCCCTGTGGGAAGTTCAAGTTCCTCCCCCCTCCCTCCAGGTCCAGGAAGGTGAGTATCCAGACAGACTGGATCCGCAAAATCCAGTATATGCAGAGGAAACAAGTCCCAGTGTCATTGTCAATGTCGTTTCAGAAAGACTCTAGGCCAGCCACATTCAAAGAATCTGGTTGGATCGCGTCCTCGTTCAGTCCCAGTCCAACTGGCCTTGGTGAACTCTCATTAGATCAGTCCCCTTGTATCAGTGGGTGATCGCACCCCTCGCGGTCCTGAGTTTTTTTTTCATGTTCTTCCTCCTTCTGCTCTTCATTTGGACCTTGGGGAGCTCAGTCCGGTGCTCCAATGTGGGTCTCCGTCTGTATCGCCATCTATTGATGGATGAAGGTTCCCTCTGGTCTTGCCTTCTTTGCTCACGTTCTCTTTCCTTCTGCTTCTCGTTTGGACCTAGGGAGTTAAGTCCAGTGCTCCAATGTGGGTCTCTGTCTATCTCCATCCATCGCCAGATGAAGGATCTATGGTGATAAGCAAAATATTCATCAGTATGGTTATGGGCTGGTTCAGACACCCTCTCCTCTGTCCAGAGAACAATCTGGGGATCTCTCCTTGGACCTGGGATCCCATTTATAATCAAGTCTCTTGTAAACCCTAAAATGACTCCCTTAGTTGAGATATATTCTTCCCTGATCCCATATCCATCCTTCCTCCCTCCCCCCATCCCAGGCCACCGAGCTTTCCCCATTCCTCCACTACTCCCTACTCTCTAACCCTCTTCCCTTCCAACAACCCTCCCACCCCCCCATGCACCCGAGGTTACCTGGGACTCTTGTCTATTTCCAATCTCCAGGAGGATAAGTAGATGATTTTCTTCAGGTTCACCTTCTTATTTAGCTTCTCTAGGATCACGATTAATAGGCTCAAAACCTTTAATTATGGCTAGAATCCACTTATGAGTGAATACATACCATATTCCTCTTTTTGGGTCTGGCTTACCTCACTCAGTAAAGCGAAGATGTCATTATTTTTTACCGCTGAGTAAAACTCTAAAGTGTATATGTGCCACACCTTCTTTATCCATTCTTCTATTGAGGGACATCTAGGTTGTTTCCAGGTTCTGGCTATGACAAATAGTGCTGCTATGAACATAGTTAACAAATGCTTTGGTAGTATGATTGGGCAACTCTTAGGTATATTCCCAGGAGTGGAATTGTGTGATCCTGAGGTAGATTGACTCCCAGTTTCCTGAGATACCACCACACTGATTTCTAAAGTGGTTGCACAGGTTTGCATTCCCACCAACAATGGATGAGTGTTCCCCTCATGCCACATTCTCTCCAGCATAGGCTATCATTGGTGTTTTTGATTTTAGCTATTCTGACAGGTGTAAGATGGTATCTCAAAGTTGTTTTGATTTGCATTTCCCTGATTGCTAAGGAGATTGATCATGACCTTAAGTGTCATTTGGCCATTTGAATTTCTTCAGGTGAGTATTCTTTGTTCAGTACCCCATTTTTAATTGTATTAATTAGAGTTTTAATGTCTAGTTTCTTGAGTTCTTTGTATATTTTGGAGATCAGACCTTTGTCTGATGTGGGGTTGGCGAAGATCTTCTCCCAATCAGTAGGTTGCCTTTTTGTCTTAATGACAGTGTCCTTTGCTTTACAGAAACTTCTCAGTTTCAGAAGGTCCCATTTATTTATTGTTTTTCTTATTGTCTGTGCTTCTGGGGTTCTAAATAGGAAGTGGTCTCCTGTGTCCATGTGTTGTAGACTCCTTCCCACTTTCTCTTCTGTCAGGTTCAGTGTGGTCAGATTAAGACTGAGGTCTTTAATCCATTTTGACTTGAGTTTTGTGCATGGTGATAGATACAGATCTATTTTTGTTCTTGTGCAGGTCAATATCTTCTTTAATTATGTGGTGAATCTATCCCTGTTTTCCTTTGCAAATTCTTTGAAAAACTTTATATATGATGCATGAAGTACCAGAGGATAAAAAGAGCTAGGTCAAAGCCAAATGAATTAGAAGAAATGGTTCTTATCTAAGCAATACACATAAAAAGTAGAGATTTTAATAGTAATGAGAGAGCTTTATAATTTTTTTACATATTAATGGATCCAGAACTGATCTCTTAGCTTATCTTGATTGCCCATAAACTTTTTCCATCCCTAGCACTGATATATGGATTTCAGATTTATTATTCTATACTATATCCTTACTCATTGAAAATCCTACTTTTAATCAATTTGTTTAATGTTTTAATAGTACCAAATAATCTGCCATTGTTTTTTGCTTTTAATTTAGTTTTGAACTATAAAATTTCAGCAAATTCACCTAAAATCTTTTATTCTTTTTTTTCTTTATTTGTTTGTTTATTCAAGTATCCGAAAACACTCTTTCCAATTCCCTCCTCCCAATACCCTCCCGCTCCCCCCACTCCTTTTCCTCCTCCCTCTCCATTCCCAAGAGCAGTCAGGGTTTCCTGTCCTGTGGGAAATCCAAGTTCCTCCCCCCTCCCTCCAGGTCCAGGAAGGTGAGCATCCAAACAGGCCAGGATCCCAAAAAGCCAGTCCATGCAGACAAAACAAGACCCAGTGCTATTGTCAATGGCTTCTCAGTATTCATTTGGATCTCAGGGGCTCAGTCAGCCCCCATGTCAGTCACATTCAGAGAATACGGTTTGATCAAATGCTCGTTCAGTTCCAGTCCAGCTGGCTTTGGTGCGCTCTCATTTGATCAGTCCCCTTGTATCAGTGGGTGAACGCACCCTTCGTGGTCCTGACTTCCAGTGCTCCAATGTGGGTCTCCATCTCTATCTCCATCCATCGTAGGATGAAGGCCCCCTCTGGTTTTGCTTTCTTTGCTCACGATCTCCCTATATAAAAGTAAACTTTAAAACTTAAGACAAATGTATGCAGGCCTGAGGAAAATCTGACCATTACATTTACAATGAAAGTAGAAAGAAATTTCAAAATTCCTCTACTATTTTTTTCAATGATGAGAAAAAATAAATGCTGCTGATAAATAGATATAATAAATACTTTGAAAATATAATAGCTGTAAAACTCTTTGAAAATAAGAAAGGAGGACAGAATATCTTGTGTGCAAGCTACATAATTAGTTTGATATGGCCCTCAATCAGTGAGTAAAGAAACCATGATAACTTGGAATTTACAGAAAGATTCTGGACCCAGTGAAAACACAATGTAAGATAATCACTTATTCCCCATCCCGAAAGGTACAAAGATAATAAATTTACACAAGTAATATTGATGTAAAACACATGAGTTAATAATAAAAACCTTAAATTAATTTAAGAGCAAACCCACACAATTAATTTAAAAATAAAATTTCTTGCACTCATTAATTTCAAAGATAAAAAAATCTCCTGTTTATATAAAACTGCACTTCTACTTTTAAATGTAATAAAATATAGTTTATTCTGGACAAATTTTTAGTAACAATGGTCTGGAAACATGGATTTTGATTACCCCAAATTTCATGTTATAGTTTAAAAGCAATTTTATGATTTTTTATAGTTTTGCAAAAAAGGTGTAAATCAAGTCAAGTTTAAAATATATTGGTAGTGCATTGAAGAAGTACATGCAGAGAGATGGGGGAGGATTTTCTTTAGGCTCAAGATGCTATCTGTGTGAGGACATTCTAAGCTTTTGGATTGGTTGTAGTAGGACAAGTGGTGGGCTCTGTCCCATTGCCTGGATAGCTTAGACACAAAATAATTACAAAAAATATTATTCATATAAGCACTGTCTGTCCCATTAGTTCTAACCTCTTCTTGGATAACTATTACATATTCGTTTAACCCATCTCCATTAATGTGAATAATCTCTTGACTATGTCTTACCAGCCTGAGTCTAACCAGCATCCATCTTGGGTAGGAGAAGGATGGTGTCTGTCACACTTCCCTTCTTCCCAGCATTCTGTTGTGTCTACTCTTCCTATGTAAGGGCTGCCCTATCAAAGGGCCAAGGCAGTTTTCTTTATTCAACCAATGAAACAACACATAGAAACAAAACCCTCAGACACCAGTTGGTGGAAGGTAGTGGTCTTTTAATAGATTGTAAAAGTTTT